CAAAATATTAACACTAAAAGTAAAGAAAGACTAAATGATAACCTTACTATTAGCTATATTGTCTATATACTTTAAGAAATAAATTCTGTATATCCTTAAAATAAAATTTGAAAAAGAAGTAGAATTTAGTATCACTATTCGGTGATAAATGCCCCCGTCCTGAAAAATTCATGCGTCCTCGCATGATATATATACACAATATACTTGATGAAATTATTAATAATTATATAAAAGAAAAACATATGCTTATAATTAAATATTTGTATAAAATTTTGTATCACAATATATTGAGTGGATTATGTTGATATATGATTATACAGGCTAAATTCACTAAGGTAATCCTTTGTTGTCGCCTTATGTATAATGCATCCTTGTACAAGGCTCAGAACTCAGAAGATACTCTATTCTTTTATTCCTTATTTCATATAGTATTATTCAATATTTCGGTTATTACTATGATCATTTCTTATTCTTATATGATCATTTCTTATTCTTATATGATCATTTCTTTCTTATTCTTATATGATCATTTCTTTCTTATTCTTATATGATCATTTCTTATTCTTATATGATCATTTCTTATATGATCTAATTTATTTTCCTATTCATTCTCATATATTATTTATCATCTAATATATTGTCACATGTTATCAATTCTTTTATTTAATTTCATGTTATAATTATTAATCAAAAAAAATTTGGGGGGTATATTTCACGAAATGTGAAAAAAGAAACCAATTTATATTTATATATATACATATCATTCAATATAATAATCATATTCAGAACTTCTATTTCCTATTAGAAGAAAAACATAATAGTTTTGCTATTTTCTTATGTTTGCCATTTAATTACGTAAAAGAACTAGGTCTATGTGGTCTAATCAAACTTTCTTAAAGTTTGAAAAATGCTTTGCATACTGATCATCACCAATATGGCACAGCGTTGGAATGTCAGTCAAAAATGGATGGCCAGTCCACCTTGCCTAACAAACCTGATTATAGCAATTAACAATAATTTTAAAAATAATTTAGACACACAGACCTTTTTCTTTCTTTTTTTTAAATGTGAAAGGTACTTTAATGTAATTATTTTAATGTGGAAATTATAAGAGTTGTCAAATTTTAGTCGCTTTTTACGACACACAATTCAACTAAGGTTGAGCCTACTCTTGTCCCCGGTCCCACAGGGGAACGTATTCACTATATCTATCTGTCATAATTACATGAGTTTTCTGTATATATGGTAACATTTACATCCTTTTTTTCCTCTTTTTAGAATTTCTGCCCATGAACCTATATACAACTGTCTTGTTTTTGATAAACGTAAAATATATCGCAAAGAATATCACTTTGAATTTCCTAATTTGAAACATGGAAGAAAATAGCAGTGTTGAAATAATTACATATTTTTGAACAGTGCTTAAGAATAGACTTACCGAAGCCTTTAAATTATTATTTATATACATATTATTATTAGTTATAACATTAAAATAAATTGGCATACAAAATGAGTTTAAGAACTCCCTATACCTTACATCATTAATTATTAAGTTTTTATTTACAATGGGTTTTTTAGGATTTCTGACTTTAGGTACAGCCAAGGCTAGATATATAGGGTACCAGAGTTTGCCAAGGTTTGCCGAGTGGTACTACTAGTGAACTCATTATACATTAATTATTTGAAGATATTGACTGGTAAAGCAGGGTATGAAATAAGCCTCTTGTATGGTAACCTCAAAATAGGTTATGCTAATCTGCCTGAAATTTGGTTACGATGCATCAATTTTCTGCCATATTTGTTTAGAGCTGCCCCCTATTGACATGCAATATAGTACAATTTGGATGATTTTACACCACTATAGATAGGTAGTCTACACTTTAACCCTAGAGTCAATTAAAAGATTAGCCAGGTACCCCTAAGCTCATTAAATCAGCAGGGCCCATCTCCCTAAGCCAATTAGTGGATTATTGTTAATTCTAATACCCACTATAAAATTGCAAATAACTAAAAAAAAGAACATATATTTTCTATACATAGAAAAACTTTTACAAAAATGTACAGAATGTCGGGTTCTTTCCAATGATATAAAATTCAATTGTACAAAGTAGCAATTATATTACTATCAATAATATTGAAAAGTCAGTTCCATTAAAATTATGACTTTTTTGTCATCATGAACAAGCATCTCCTAAGATTTTTTTTTTTTTTTTTAAATAGAACAGTCAGAGTGCATGTTAGTTCAGGTGTGTGCTGTGAATACACAGGTCATGTGATTAGAGAAGCATGATAACTAGTGAGTGCATTTGAGAGAGAGTTTTATTGAAATAAAATTGAACCATATGTTAGGCCCGAAATGACCTAGTTTGTGTCGAGTGGAGGTTAAACCCCATTTCTTCTCTCTCTCATTTCTCACCTCCTGTAACGGGTACATGTCATACTCATGAGTCATATTTCTGTATGAGATCCTCGAGATCACATGATCTGTAAGCTAGCAGACAACATAAGTTATATCTAACAAATAATGTATACACAGTCTTAAAGTCAAAATTCTCAATGATTAAAATGCATATTTTTATACGTCCGTAGTCCATATGTGTGTCCGTCCGTCGATCCACAATTTGTTTGTGGACTCTCTACAGGTCACAATTCTTATCCGATTTTATTGAAACTTGAAATGTAAATTTATAACCCGAAGATCTCGGTTCCTTTTGATATTCGTGCATATCGGACCGTAATGTCCTGAATAATGGCCCCTGATTGTACGAAAAATCGTGTTTTTAGCTTGTGGACCCTATAGAGGTCATAATTTTTATCCGATTTCAAAAAAATGTTTTAGTACATCACTGTTACACCCTAAGGGCAGCTGAGTTCGAATTTCGTGAAAATCGGCCCAAAATTGACAGACAAAATGGCCGCCATTCGTTCTCAAATAGCGTAAAAAATATGGTATAGCAAGGTTGTGGACCCTATTGAGGTCACAATTTTTATCCGATTTTGTTGAAACTTGAAATGTAAGTTTATAACTCTAAGATCTCGGTTCCTTTCGATATTCGCGCATTTCGCACCGTAACTTCCTGAATAATGGCCCCTGATTGTACGAAAAATCGCGTTTTTAACTTGTGGACCCTATAGAGGTCATAATTTTTATCCGATTTAAAAAAACGTATTATTATATCACCGTTACACCCTAAGGACGGCTGAGTTCGATTTCCATGAAAATCGGCCCAAAACTGACAGACAAAATGGCCGCCATTCGTTCTCAAATAGCCTAAAAACATGGTATATCAAGGTTGTGGACCCTATTTTGATGGAACTTGAAATGTAAGTTTATAACCCAAAGATCTCAGTACCTGTCGATATTCGTGCATATCGAATCGTAACTTCCTGAATTATGGCCCCTGATTGTACGAAAAATGTTGTGGAACCTGTAGGGGTCACAATTTTAATTCGATTTTGATGAAAGTGAAATGCATGTTTATAACCCAAAGATCTTGGTTCATTTCGTACATCTTGGTTCATGTGGACGTATATTGTTGTCGCCCCTGTCCGTCCGTCCACAATTTGTTTGTGGACACTCTACAGGTCACAATTCTTATCCATTTTAACGAAACTTGAAATATAGGTTTATCTCCAAAAGATCTCGGCTGCTTTCGATATTGGCATGTATCGGATCGAAACTTCATGGATTATGGCCCCAGTTTGTACGAAAAATCACGTTTTTAGCTTGTGGACCCTATAGAGGTCACAATTTTTATCCGATTTTGTTGAAACTTGAAATGTAAGTTTATAACCCAAAGATCTCGGTTCCTTTTGATATTCGCGCATATCGGACCGTAATTTCCTGAATTATGGCCCCTGATTGTACGAAAAATCACGTTTTTAGCTTGTGGACCCTAAAGAGGTCATAATTTTTATCCGATTTAAAAAACCGTATTATTATATCACTGTTACACCCTAAGGACGACTGAGTTTGAATTTCGTGAAAATCGGCCCAAAATTGACAGACAAAATGGCCGCCATTCGTTCTGGAATAGCATAAGAATATGTTATAGAGGTCACAATTTTTATCCGATTTTGTTGAAACTTGAAATATAAGTTTATAACCCAAAGATCTTGGTTCCTTTCGATATTCGCACATATCGGACCGTAACTTCCTGAATTATGGCCCTTTATTGTACGAAAAATTGCGTTTTTAGCTTGTGGATCCTATAGAGGTCATAATTTTTATCCGATTTAAAAAAACGTATTATTATATCACCGTTACACACTGAGGACGACTGAGTTCAAATTTCGTGGAAATTGGCCCAAAATTGACAGACAAATTGGCTGCCGTTCATTCAGTTCCTTTCGATATTTGCGCATATCGAATTGTAATTTCCTGAATTATGGCCCTTGATTGTAGGAAAAATCACTTTCTTGTTAGCTTGTTCTCTATCCATCTCTCGAAAATGTGGGCGTATCCTGCCTGGCAGCCGCTGGTTGAATTAAATCATGAAATAGCCAAATTGTTCTAATCTAGTTAAAATCTGGAGTATCTGATGGCATCGAGAGTTGATTATTGTCTTGTCATGTTAATAGATATCTAATTAATGATTTATATAACATTTCATGCCTAAAGAAAGACCTGCAATAGGCAGATTTAGCTCTTATATAATGCCTGTTTAAACACTGCATACCGTATACACACATGCACAATAAATTAAAACTATTTGTATACACAGCAACTGAAGACATATAGAAGACATGGTATTTTAACTCACTCCGTGTCCTTGGGTCTTTTGTTCCTATCAAAATGAAAATTGTAATCATTATTTTTATACACTGGATTTTTATGTAGACTTACTATGCATTTCACAATAATAAAATATATTTGTGTACACAGCAAGTGGACACATATTGAATTGTTATTTTAAACTAATGGGAAATCAGTGTTCTTAGGTTTCATGTTCACCTCCAATTGAAATCATTATTTTTACACCTTTTTCAAATATTTTCAGCCATGAAGCTATATCAGTTGTAAAAATTCTCCATGTGTTGAGAGGTCTACGTCCTTTACGTGCCATAAACAGAGCTAAAGGTCTAAAGGTAGGGTTTTTTTTTTAATACTGTTTTGAAGGAGCTAAACCTCCTCACTTTATGTAGAAAATAGTGTGACACTACGGTGACTATCCTTCGTCACGGCACTAAAAAACAGTGATATGCCACGGCCCATGACACTAGGATGACACTTATCTAGTCAGGACTTTCACGCTGTATATAAAACTCCAAGGATCAATTGACACTGGCGATCAAAGAAGAATCACGGTGAAAAATAGACGGTTAGGATTCCGAAATGGCCTTAGAACCAAGGTGGGGGAAAAGCCTTATTTTCATATTAGTTATCTTTAGGATCAGCCAGTAACGATGAAAGCTAGCCTCTATCAGACATCATTACTAAAATAACTAATATAAGGATAACTCGTGTTTTCCATTGTTTGCGTCACTTCCTGTTTCTTCAAATCTTCGTTACGCATCTACTGTAGCAATGATCTCTGTATTAAAATTATATTTGGTATGTCCTTTAATGTCCTATTGTTCTGCATCAAGAAAGACAAGCATGTTCCATGCAGTATGATACGAGAGGAATTTTAAGGCGAGTGTTTATAATTTGTTTATATGTTTTAATCTGGTATATAATGGAGTGTTTATAATATGTTAACATATTTTTGTCTTTCAAAGAAAGCAGGGGACTATTAAAATGAGTTCGTCCGTCTGTCGGTCTGTCCGTCACACTTTTTGGGACACAATAACTCTCTTTCTAATTAAGCTAGAATGTTCAAACTTGGTGTAGGTGTTTATTAGGTCAATACCTTGATGGAGTTCGAAGATGAGCATTTTCTGCTTAGGGTAAGCAGAGATAAGCAATTTGATTGGTTGATGCTTTGGGACACGATAACTTTAGTTCTAATTAAGTGAGAGTGATGAAACTCCGAATATAGATTCATTACATCATTACCTTGATTAAGTTTGATAATGAGAATTTTCTGCTTAGGCTAATGAGCGATAAGCAATTTGATTGGTCAAGACTTCGAAACATTACAACTCTGCTTTTTATTGAGGTAGAATGTTTAAACTTGATGTTCATTAGGTGAATGTCTTGACTGAGTTCAATGATTAATATCTCGAGCTAAAGCTAAGCTTGCGCGTAGGGGTCTTTAGCAGTGGGAGGAAAGATTTTCCTTTAGGGCTAATCCATTTAAAAATATCTGGAGGGTACCACACATTTTTTAAAAAAATAATCTTTTACTGAACGTGTGGAAAAATTGGGTTTTGTGGGTAATGTAATGGGGCATGGGGGGAGGGTCTGTTTGAAAAAAGCTCAGTATATTATGGTATCTGCCCCCCCCTGTAATTTTAAATGGAATATTCCTAAGGTGGTTTACATTTTATGAGAATTCAGATCCTACATGTATATTCATTATGGTTCTCGTTTCCCTGGTACTGGATAACCAGTAAAAGATCGACTGAAGAATTCACCTGGGACTGGCAGTTGATTTATATACAAGTTGTAAAATAGGGCATTTCAATGATTTTAACCTTAAAAGACTATAAATACAGTTAAATTTAAAACACTTAAATATATATTTATGAATGAAATAATATTCAAAATTTGTCCTACTCTTTGAAAAACTTGTCATGTCAGTCTGAGATATGTGAAAATGTTGGCTGATATATGTGAAGGTGGTCTCAATAGTGATATTTAATTATCAAAAACTGTATTTACTTCAACTCGTAACAAAAATTTAATCTGATCAGATTTTAATAAACAAAGGTCGACGACTCCCCACTGGAATATCTCGGGTGGTTTAGGCCTACAAATAAAACCATTATTTCCCAGCCTAGTGAAATATTAAGGACCAGTTGATTAGCACCTTGATATTTTACAAGGTAGATCTAGTTATTAGCCGTCTGTTTCAACATTTTGTCAGGTAGGCCTAGGGAAACATTAGGTACTAGTTGATTAGTACCTTGACATTTCACCAGGTAGGCCTAGAGAAACATTAGGTACTAGTTGATCAATGTCTTGACATTTCACCAGGTAGGCCTAGAGAAACATTAGGTACTAGTTGATCAATGTCTTGACATTTCACCAGAGAAACATTAGGTACTAGTTGATTAGTTTAATTGTTATATATAACCACTATAAAGAACTAATACTTTTTTTAAAAAAAGACACCAACAGATCTAACATCAAAAACGTCCCCAGTCGATCGACATGTCCGCTAATGGGGATAAAATATGATTAGGGAGGGAACTCGTTTTCAAACTAATGGCAATGACACTAGAACTAAATAAACTCTATTGTATATAGGCCCGGTATAGTATTATAACATTTTCAAATTAATACTCAGATGTCAATGGCACTAAGGTCCAAGTGTTATAAGGGGAGTGGCTGCCAGCCAGGAAGCTTTATAGTAAAATCATGTCAAGTCATCAAAGAAAAAGAAACCAACAGATCTGGCTATATTTAAATTTATGGATTCCAATTACCAATAGAGTTACCTGAATTCATTCAGCCTTGCTGGTATAATTAAGACCTACACATAAGCCTGTGTTGGAATTTGAAATAACAGTGGGGCATTGTGTCGCTGTCCGAGCAGAATGTCTTTTATACGGTAGCACACACTGCATGGCATAAACCCATCTTCAATAGCCCAGTCAGTGTAGAAAAGTAGGACGTTAAACCCCATTTGACGAATACGTGAATAAAATGAGGTTTAACGTCCTACCGGTATTATGAAGACAAGTTAGTGATGTACCGTATGTAATATAGTAAACATTGTGTAGTTTATGATGGTGTATTATAGATCGATTGATTGATTGATTTGTGTTTATACGTTTTATCTAGATTGTGTCAGCTTCAGTATACACCCCCCCCCCCCCCCTCCAACAATTGTCAACCCACCCCAGCAATGTTTGTATCGTTCTTGTCTACCATATTCGTTATTAAATATTCATTCAACTTATTATATCAAATTGTTTCGTTTTTAATTTTAAATTCCTATATGTTTTGAGATCATAGCTTAGGATTTTTCTCGCCTAGTTTTCACGGAACACGTCTGAGAGGGTCAGACTGGTTAGGTCTAAATGTTAAGGCCATCTGTAGATTATCGTCAAGGTTACGTGATGTAAACAGGGTTAACTCTAACCCAACCCACTGTCTTCGCCAGCAACCACATGCCCTAAACCTGTTTACATCAGGTGACCTTGATGAAATCTGCAGGTGGCCTTAATATTTAGACATGAGAATCCAGGTCTACCCAATGTTGTACATGTAAAAATATATCCAAGCCAATGTCCCCAATGACCGTAGTATACGGACCAGCAACCGAACATGACGTCATGGCCGCCACCTTTAAATTGTGACGTCATATACAAAATCGATGCGCGATTGCCCATAGAACAAGCATGTCATGTTTAATAATGTTGATCCTACTTGGGCCTTTTTGGAAGAGGATCGCCCGAGGAACAAGACAAGTACCGTTTGGGATCCAGTTCCATGTGCCCAATTCGCCTGACTAGCACACCACACCACACACAATGGTCAGGACGAAATGAACACCTTTTATTTTTTCTTTATTCAATTGAAAGTTTTATGTCGAAATGTTACCCAAGAGAGTTTGGTCTAAGTTAAAAGTTACAACCTGACAGTAATACCTGTCGTGGGTGGATGTGGGTGTTTAACGTTGTCACACACAAACTATGCCAATTTCTTGTATGTAGTGGGCTTTAGTTAGCAGTGGGGGGAATCCGAAAGGAACCCCATGGGGTGGGATTGAAACAACGCTACCTAACTCAGTGACATACCTTATAATCAATAGTTCATGCGTTAGGGCCCCCCCCCCCTCCAATTTGATTATTTCTTTAAGCCATTTATTTAGCGTCATCTACAATATTTCTTAAAGCTTTTATATAAGAATGATAAATAGTAACGAAATACAAGAATATAATAAAATTTATATATTAACACAATAATTTTAAATAAAACAGTAGCAAAAATAAATTATTATTTAGTAATGGCAACATATGTAAACATCAAATATGTGCGTATATAAAAAATAAAATATGTGCATATATAAATTAAATCAAAAATTTATTATCAGTTGTAAAAGGGAGTATAGAATTTGTGAATTTATTGGAACTGGCGGAACGCTTATGTTTTAGGCTTTGTCAATATATTATATAAAACGTTATAAAATCTCAAAAGGAATAACCAACATGTCTTTTATTATACGACAAAGTATATTTTTATATATTAAGATTCAGTGAGCTAGAAAAATTTATTTGGCTCGATCCGCTTGAGGTTCTTTCTTTTCTCATATCTCTCTGTCGGGAATAATAGGGGTTTGCACTCCCCCTTTTCAAAATTCCTGTATCCACCCTTGTTGAGAGTTGACAATGTATAAAGGGACATAATGTAATTGAGGATTTGGGGCGTGTCATCACCACTGGGAAATATCAGTAGGCCTATTATAATCATCATCTTTATTTGTCTATAAATCACCATCAATCACCTTCACTATCACTAGATATATCAACATCATTAGGAAATATCCTGGTTTTTAGGAAATCTTGTCTTAGTTCATGATCCGTATTGAGAGTAAAATACTGGTAGTTATATTGACTATAATCATCATCTCTATATCATAACTATCATAATCATCATCAAAATCATTACAACCATCATCAATATTATCTATGTTGTAATCTTTAGGATGAAGAACATCTTTTAACAGAAGAAAATCCTTTAATTCACGAGGTAATTCAAGATCCCTTACCTTCTCCTTTATTCCCAATCCAAGATTCTGTCTGATGAATCTTCTACGTACAGGGACTTGAGAGATATATTACTACAGAAACTAATGAATTCTTCCCTGCCTTGTGAATGGGTAGTGTGATCTTCCTTATCAAAATTCAAAGTTGTCATAATTTCCCGCCCTTGGGCACCACTAAGATATAACAGTTTTCTCAGTTTATCTCTATCTGAACTACTTAGTTCAGTAAGATCAATTTGATTATAGCTACTTTCACCTGAAGAGATAATGAGAGTCTGAACACAGTTTTCAGCAACTAAATATCTAATAAAACGAACAATGCGGCATGGTTCCCAGAAGCGGGGAAAACATAAGGCTGTTTTGATAATCGTGTTGCCATCATTACAGGGTAAATAGAGAAGACCAGTATTACCATTAGATAGAAGTAATTTAAAATAAGTCAAATCAAACACATTCTGATAATATTAAGATATTGTAGAGCAGATCTTCCTGAATAGTCTAACATGGTAACTATGGCACCAGCTTGAAGTAGTTTCCTTGTAAGAACTCTGTCGTTTTTCATTGCTGCCATCATTAAACTAGTTCTACCTCCATTATCTGGAATATTTACATCTATTCCATCAACACCAAGTAAAATATCAATACAAGTCATGTATATTGGATATATCTGTCTACAATAATTCTTAACAACATCATTTACCTGTCTCTTGTTCAAACCATCTTTAAACATAGTAAATCCAATGATAGAAAGATGGAGAGCCGTATGACCCTGGTTATTGTGTGTATTGATCTCTAGTCTAGGATGACGTGTCAACAATTCTAAATATTTGCTGTTTAATAAAAAGGCAGCTATCATAGTAGGTGTGTTGGTTTGAGAACATGGATGTTTGATGTCTAGTTCGTTATTTAACAACCATTTAAACGTGTTTGCAGAATAATCATAGTTAACACCAGCTAAAAGATGAAGCATATTTTCTCCTTCAGCTGTAAAACCATTAACAATCAACTTACGCCCCATGTAATAACTGAACACCCCCAACCTCTTACATTTTAAAATATCATGGAATAACTTAACTCCATTGTTACCTGACATCACATCTGAATCTGAATCTACTAAAAGTTTAGCCACCGTGATCCCCGTGTTTTAACAAATTGGATGTTAAACCCCATTCCTATCACATTATTGTATAGACCTGTCTGTCCTATTTAAATAATCAAATGATTGTGTAGATATTAAACATTATTCCTATATTATAACGTTTTGTATTTCAGTTAATAGCTAATATATATAGTTTCCTGTCGACTATACTTGTAGAACAGAAATTTACTGAGTGATAAACTGGAGAAGATCTGTGAAGATTGAAGGCCGTCAGGTAAGGGTGATAACTCTCAAGTTATATTTAGTACCAGGATAGGTTTTAAATATCACAAGTTTTTTTTTAAAATGTTAAATTAAACTTCATAATTTTATGAACATATCCAGAATATGGTGTGCAGAAAAATAGGACATTAAATGATTAAAGCTTATTTTATTTCTAGAATATATCTCTCCAGATTTCTTTGTTTATATTTGTTGTTGTTTACCAGTAATCACATGCAAGTTGATACTGTCTATCTTGACATAGATTAGTCATTTACAATTTTATTTAGAATTTGTTTTTAGCGATGTGATTAAGGCAGACAACTTTTAAATTGTGGGATAAGGGGAGATAATTCAAAATAGAGTTATCCTTTCTGGATGATAAAAGTAGGAACGGTGAAATAAGATTTAATTAAAGTTTGTGTATCATTACAATAAAACAACTTAGTTAGTCTCAGTCAGACTTGACAGTCCAGTTGACAAATTGGAGAACTTACCTGTTAGTCAATTTACTGTTAAAAAATAGTATTTCTAATAATTTAACCTTAAAATACAATAAATACAGTTACATTGATAGTTGTTATGTGTAAAAACACTACAAAATATATCTAAAAAATTGGAATAATGTTATAAATTGTATAAACAATACCTAGATAAGTTTTTAGCGTCTTGTAAATGTTCTCTCCATTATCTATAAAAGAAAACCTATGTTTTGTTTATGTTTTTCAGAGCTGCTGTATTCGAACATAAACCGTCATTAAAAGTTGGTTGTGATTATTTGATACATGATTGTGTCAAGAGATATCCACTAGAAAACTGTCCACTGTGTAGCTGAAGATCCTGAGGTAATGTTTTTTATATTTTGTCTAATAACCAAAGTGTATTAATTCCCTAACTTAACTAACTTGACAAAACTGTATAATATTAATAATGGTTTAATCTAGGATGCAGCCCTTTATAAACTAGTTATAGATATAATGCTGCAAACTTGTACACCAAAAAGTATAATTTGTTTCCATGGAAACACAAAAAACTATTAAATCCATGAAATTTTTAATTATCAAGAGGCAGAACTACTACAATAGGTTGATGTGTGTACAAAGTATCATAAAGATATCTTGATCGGTTTAAGAGATATTCTCCAGAAACAAACCCAAGCGAAACAGATGAATGGACAGAGTCTGAAATAATTCGATTGACCTCTTTTAATCAGATTGAATTGAAGCCAGGAGATTATATCACTGTTGATATTCTGATTTTATTTTCTTAAATAAATTAAATGTTAAATAATCAATTTGAATACCGGTAGATTTTATCATGAATTAAGCTGTAGACAATATGGTCATGTATGAAAAATGATGCATCAAGACTTTAAGGTATAAAAATTAGATAATGTGTGAAAAATATTTTATTTCAGAATCAACTGAAAGGTTGTAAAAATCAAATAGACAAAGAGTTTATTGTGGTCATCTGTTTCATAATGGTTGTTTAGATACGTTCATGAAAACACCTCCATTTATAGGTAAATATTTATAATACTGCTGGGAGTCATGGCGACCTCAATGGGTGAAGAAAACTAAAACTTTACACCTGCTTAAATGATATCAGCCATTCCACGGTGACTCGCGTGACATTTCTACGCAACACAAATTTTTAAATATGAATATCATGAAACCTAATAATCGGTTTCTATAAAAACTACTCCCAAGTAAAGTTTTTGTGTTCTGTTACATGAGAAACACTTTAAATATTACTTTCTTGGGCAAAATTTTGTGCAATGTGATCATATTGAGTTGTGACTCGTGTGACATGCATTTGCAGCGCATTCATGGGCAATGATACTGACCCCCCCCCCCCCCCATTTAGTAGAAAAGTAAATAGAATATAGGAATATGACTTATATGTATATGAAGCTAAATTGTTGAGCCGTAGCATCATTTTGTTACAATGTGGTGTTTTATTGTTGAGTTTTGTGTTGAACTGAGATTTTATATGTGACTTGCGTGACATAAAAATGTGACTCGCGTGACAGGTAGAAAAAAACACTAATGTTTCAATATAATCAACTAATTTTTTTATTGTCTTTCATTGTCAAAACAAACAAGAAATAATTTGCTCAAAAATATTTCAATCAAAATTATAAATTCTTTATTTAGCCAGGACTCCTCTGGATCTGAAGGCCAGGTATATAGATTATCTCCAACTCTTTGAAGGTATCGCAAAAGAACATCTTGACCATCAACATCCAAAACTTGAGCCATAGAAATATATTTTATATCGGACCGTTTACCCGAAAAAGATTCAGCAACCAGTGACATCCTGGAAAGAAAACAACAAATTAGTTTTAGAATGAAAACATGTTAGGCTACAAGCAGTATAGCAAACTGAATTACTGCCCTAAAGTCGCTAAAAATAAAGTTAAAAGTAGAACAATATAGCGTGACTCGTGTGACATGTGACTCGCGTGACATGACTTTAAGTAGTTTTTTTTGCGCTAGAAAAAATTGATAGCATTACAAAAATTCATTCAGATATTCAGTTTTTTATGCTTATTTATCATTAATATTTGTCAAATAATAAAGTTATTTTAAAAGGGTGCTATAAAAGAAATATACTCACTTTTGTGACTTGCGTGACCATCAAAATGAGGTAGTTTTGGGATCCAGAAAAATTAGGGATCGGCTTCACTCATCGACAAATTTCTTTAACTGAGTAGAAAGTTACCATTTTGATCTCATTTGGTCAAAATAAACCAAGATTATAATAGAATGTGCCAGGGATAATCCATTTTTATTCCATAATATCATGTTTATATTATACTTACCATTTTAAGGATAAGGAGTGCGGATGGCCAATATTTTAAATGTTAATAATTTTGTGATTTTAATTTTTGACTTGATGTTCTGATATGTTTATTAAGTGTTACTTGTGTCTTCTATTTGTTTTGTTTTGTTTTAAATTTGTTCAATATTCAAACCACGGATCTCACTTTAGATAGTTGACCGAAGATAAAAAGTTTATTCTCTTATTTGGACGAGTCAGAAATGCAAGGCTCCATATTGTACACATTGTCGTGCACTTAATAGAACCCTTGACAGACAGTTGGAATGTCGTGGAAGACTAGATGGGAATGTCGCTGTCTGAGTAAACTTTCCCTCATAGTACACTTTATGACGTATGTCGATCTTCATTAGTCCTGTAGAAGCAGAAAAGTAGGACGTTAAACCCCATTTCATGTTATATCACTTAATCTACATTTAAAATAAAAGTAACACATAATATAAGATTATGTTTGGGGTTTTTTTTTTCAGGAGGTAAAAAATGTCCTTCATGTGATAAACGAATTTATCATGTAAAATGGAAAGTGTCAGTTGAAGTAATGGAGAATTGATGGGCACAAAGAGAACTAGAAGAAGTTGTAGATTTCTTGAAATAATTTAAAATATACGTCTACTTTTGTTGAGATAAAAAATACCAAATATGTATATTCTACAATCTCAGCTTCAAATTTACAATTTACTTACAAAAATATTTATTTACATTGTATTCAATGTCTCTAATATATGAAATATTGTAAAAAATTGAATCACTGGGGGCCGTGTCAGGCCCCCAAATATTCTGTTGAGTATATACAAAGATATGATGAATCAAAAATTGGTCAATATTCAGAATCCTCTACAGATGATATAAATGGGATATGATCAAAAGTCAAGGCCACCTGTAATCTTAGGTAAAATCTTCTGATTACTCTGTGTTTAATCTGACTTGGGAGATTTTCTAACATTAATTTTACTTTCTTAAAGATGTATCATATTGTAATATATAGAATTCGGTCTTTTATATAGGGCTATTATTGTTCAATGTACACTTATTATAAATTATATCATTGCATACTTCTTTTCCAAAATGTTCAATCTTGCATTAAAATGGTCCTTAGTTACGAACATATTTATATGTCACAACGTAGACGTCCATCTTGTGTCAGATTGTTACATATATTTCTATTTGTTTAATGATCATTGTCAACACTAGTATTTTATCTTGGTTGTTATAATAATTATGTTTTATGACCAGGGTTGACGTAGTTCAACTGGATTATATTGTTACCTATTACGTCTTGAATAATTAAACATGGTATGATCACATTTGATCAAATTACTCGGTTCAATAGTTATTGTCCATTTTGTCTGTTTATAATCAATCTTTTTGTTGTACATCTCAAATTATTCCTGGTCAAATTTAAGTAAAACGGACAAGTTCGTTTTAATATTTAAGTAGGCTATTTTTCAAAGAAGTGGCGACATTCAGAAAAGGGACAATTATTCATTGGTTGATAACGTCACGTGACAGTCTAATTTTCCTATATAAAGGGTGCTAGAATGTCGGAAGAGGAGATAACGGTTCGTTATATCCAAAGCTAACCAAGAGATAAAACCGATACTTTATAACAATTACCGTATAATCACAACCTATTAACTAATTAGAAAGGTGAGAATAGTGGCCTTGATGGAACTTGGTCGTACATGTTAATGTTACAAATGTCACCATAAGTAAGTCGGCAGAATATGCCTCCATTATCACCGGGTTAACCAATGTGCGACGTCAAGGACGTTAAGGGTTTGTGTTGTGAACGTTATCTCCCACCACGCCGGACACCCATATTATTATAGAATGATTTACTAACTGTATTTTATTGTTGTTCATGTCATGACATAACCTTGAAATAAAGGAACGGGCATATTGAACATATTATTAGTCTTAGTCGTTACTTACTAGAGGAACACAAGAGTAACCTCCTCTGAATAGTTGGGAATAGCTTCGATGAATCTCGCATCTTGATTGTTTGGGTTGGGTGTTATACAAAATTCGAGGGATGCACCCCCCCCCCCCCCCCCCGCAACTCCACCGGAACCGTAAAGAATAACAGCCATAAATTGTTCCAGACATCCATGAATCGTATCCTTCATATGTTACAGCCATAAATTATAATATACATCAAGCAGAATCTCTCACCTGTATTCCAGCACCTGGATTCTAAATGAAGTTAGCAAACATATTCCTAACATCAATAAAAACTAGAAGTATTTATCACGAAATATGCAATTTATGTGAGTCGTGTTTATGGATGGTAAAGTCGGCGGAAGTCACTATTAACTATGTGTAGCAGTATTCTGACAGGAATGTTACGGAGCTGAGCGAATTTTTTGGCAACGACCATCACTCCCCATGGAGATGTAGCTAGGCAAGGTGCGTGAGATTCGAACATGTCCCTAGTCAAATCAATGCGCTGAAGAGCAGAGGTGATCCCCAGGAAAACATCTGCCAAATCTTGCAACCAGCGGCGCATCTCTTGGACATCACCTACGAAGCAATGTCAGTGTATGTGTCTGGTTGCGAGTCGCATCTGCTTTAGATTGTGAAGAATCTGCCTTGCTGCATCGCCAGTTCCAGCATCCCTGCTATGAATGATAATTGTCTGTTTAGGATCAGAATGTTGCAAGACCCTTCTGACGAACTATTCCTGGCATAATGACTGATTCCTGGAGGTAAAGTCGTGTCCAATCTCCCCAAGAGCCACACATTTTTTCTCTTCTATCATTTTCCCCAACGTTTTGGGATCTTGGCCCATGGTGGTGGTGGAAACAAAATGCAGATGTAGTCCATAGGCAAAATAGGTGGTAGGGTCGGTTATACCTTGTGTTAAATGCCAAGATGATCGATGGACAAAATTAGCCACTACTGAATTTAGCCGGTCACTGGTGTTGATCAAGATGACAATGGGAGTCTGTAAATACGTAGGGGTTAACGATGGGTTCATTCAATAGTTCACCTATGTATATTCCTCAAGATGTGAACAGACTTTAATGTCCGACGAATGTCGATGGGAACTTGATGTAATATTCTTCCCATTATTCTCCAGTTGGTAAGGGCAAAGATTCCATTTAGGGGCGAATTTATTAAAGGACCATCTGGCCTCTCCAAAAGGGCACGACCACAATTTATTATTATGGCTGATTCCTCCACAGAAAACGGAGAATCAACGTCAGTGGATGGATACAACTATTTGGATACCAGGTAATTTAGTAGGACATCTAAATCATGCAAATTCAACAAGCTGCAGATTGAATACAGAAATCCCATCATTAAGTGCAACCAACGAGCAAGATTGAAGTCATCGAAAGCAGCGCCATCAGGGTCATGTGTATGGCGGGCCCGAACAAAGCAAGGCGTTGCCTCCTGCCTCCGACAAACCCAGTATGCATTGGAGGGAGAGGAGTACCGTGGCAGATGAACTAATGTCTCTTTCAGTAACTGAAGTTTCGATCAGATACAGGACAAATCCTCCCTTTCTTGACTCTGGAGCCATCTTGTTTATTTTCCTACGCGTATCAAACGAGTCAGTTTCGTCCACCGTGAAATAATAGATGGAGAAAAATGTCTCCGATTCACCTGACGACGAAGAGGAACTATTTAAAAGAAAATGAATAACCTGGTTTGAAATCCTCCATAACAGACATCTAAAACAACAAAAACACACATAATTAAGAGCCTTGTTCCGGAGGCTTCAAAATGTCAAGGTTAAAAATCACAATTCTGCACTTTTAAAAGCATTGACAAATGAGTGGGTTGATATCATCAATACAAATGCTCAAGATTCACATGATCTGAGTTACACTGTTGATTTTGTTCTCAATGTTCAGGATGAAGATTTTGTCTTGACCGACATAAAATCTGGTTCAGCATATAAAATTCTTAGGTATATATTGTCTGGTACACCTACAAAATCTGGATTGTTGGAGGGGGATTAGGTTATGATGTTGATTGGTCGAATGTTTGGAAGTCGGTATTCCATCCTTCCAAATGTTCTGAATTTGTAGATACTGATTACAAGATTGTACACATTATTAATGAACTAATTATAAGAAGTGTATAGCTAAATTAGTTCCCGATCCTTTTTGTACCTTATGTGAAGATCAATGTGTTGAAACTTTGAGGCACATCTTACTAGACTGTAAATATGTCAAATCATTACACGAGGTCATATATGACATGATTTAGGCGAATTTTTAGAGCAAAGAGTTTAGCAGAGATGATTATGTGGTTTGGTTCATGTTTGGATATCCCGTCCGAAAGTAAGCTGATAATTTATTTTTAGTATTTTAATTCTCGGCTGCTCGATTGGCTGTTCTAAAGACAAGGTTGTATTTCTTAAAGCAAAATCACAAGTTAGAAATACGTGCAGTATTTAAATCAGTTTTAACAGATCATATGAATAATATTCATAATAACACAACTTTATGGATTTACTACTTCTTGGTTTATTACATGCAACGTTTCAATACTCTTACAGGTATCTTTATCAAGCAATGATCAATAATGAATAACAACTCTACATTTATAGTACATCCATGATGTAACTAATTATGCATAATGTATTGAAATTAGTCATATTAAATATTTGATGGTGTGGGTAATGGGTTTTGATTGCATTTTAGCTTAGGCGGTGGCTTCAATCCCCACTTTTAACACCTTAGATTGAAGAAAAATGGTAAAGCCATACTCAAAGGGAAATGTTTGTTGTTATAGTCTTAATTAATGTTATGTTTTTATTGTTAAATGGTTCTTACTCATGGATGTACTATAAATGTAGAGTTGTTATTCATTATTGATCATTGCTTGATAAAGATACCTGTAAGATGATGAAAATGATGAAACAGAGTTGAAACAAACCCACTCTGACACATTTGATCCAAATAATGATGTGAATAAAGACGACCATAAAATTATTGATACATTAATGGATTTTAATATAAACAAAAATGATGTTGCAGTCAAAGAAGCACAGGAAACTGAGTGTACCAGTGCAGACTATGTTAAAATCCAAGATAGCAAAAATACAAAGAAAAGGAATATCAGCAATAATGAAGATGTAACAGATAAAAAACTAAGAATGAAAAGTCCAATAGTTGAGGTCTTTAACAGACTGACTAGAAAAAACTGATATAATAACTAAAAAGTGAATTGGACTCAATTGTGAAATCATATTAACTGAATAAGTTTATATATAACAATACAATTATTATTCTACAATGTCTATAGTGAAAATCTTGATTATCTCACTAATTATGCATATTATATCCTCTAATATTCAAAGAGGCTTTGATGAAAAAATAAACATCTTAACAGATAAATTCAGCTACCCAGAGATACTCTGTTTACAAGAAACAGTGTCAAATACTAAAATTATAAATGAATCCAAGATATATCAAGATGGTAACTATAAAATTATATCAAATACTATTGATAATAACTATCTGGGAACAAGCATGCTTATCCGAAATGACATTGAATTTAAAGAACATACATATCCAAACTTACTACAAGGAAGGTACCAACATATATCATTATACATTAACGATAAAACAACCAATGTAATGAATATATATGGCCCTCCTGGTTCAACTAAAGAAAAACAAAATTTCTTTCAAAGTTTACACAATCATATAATAAATATCTATAATGAGAAAGAATACTACATTTTAATTGGTGATTTCAATGTAACAGAAAATAAGATTGATTCCAAAAATGATACCTACTACTCCCAGATAGTTATTGACTTACTTATCAATATCACAAAAATAATAGAAATATCAGATGTTTTCAGGAATAAATTTCCAGACAAGATATTATATACATGGTCCAATACAAGAGGTAGTGCTAGTCGAATTGACAGAGCATACATATCTAATAACCTACTAACTAGTGTTACACATTTAAATCACCATCCAAATACAAAATCAGATCACAAAATTTTATCTTTGAAAATCAATCTAGACAGCTATAGATGGGGAAGAGGATTTTGGAAATTTAACAATTCAGTACTCACAAACAACAATTATAAATCAGCCATAACAAAATTTTGGGAATTCTGGCAAAAGGAGAAAACGAATTTCAGACACAGTAATGAATGGTGGGACAAAGGGAAACAAGAAATTCAATCAATCACAAAAACCTTCTGTATAGCCATATCAAAAATCAAACAATCAAAATTAAAACTTCTCTACAGCTGTCTAGAAGATGAAGAACAAACCCAGAAGCCAGATCAAAATAAAATTAACAAAATTAAAAATGACATCACCCACATTGAAGACTATAAAAATGAAGGATATATTATTCGGTCAAAATTAGATATAAATATCACTGACAACTCAAATATTGATATTTTCAAAATAGCCGAAGAAAAGAATGCATGTAATAAAAAGATAACACAACTTCAAAATAATCATGGGGAGATACATACAACTAAACAAGATATACTAAAAACCATACATGAATATTATACAAATCTATATACATCTCAAAACATAAATCCCTATACAATAGATACATATTTAAACAAAAATAACCTATCAAAAATTACACTTGAAGATAGAGAACAAATATCACATTTGATAACAAATGAAGAAGCGCTAAGTGCCCTAAAACAATTTAAAAATAACAAGTCTCCAGGCATAGATGGCCTATCAAAATCCTTTTATCTAACTTTCTGGAACATAATAGGTGATGACTTTGTAGAGGTGTTGAACAACATTTATCTGAAGGGTGAACTCACACCTACAATGAAAGAGGCAATAATTAATATCAGTTATAAAGGAAAAGGCAACTCAAACTATTTGAAAAACTACAGACCTATAAGTCTATTATGTCAGGACTACAAAATATTAACAAAAATTTTGGCCAATAGATTA